CTCTCCATGTAGCATCAATTATGCTAATGCTAGCTGCCTGTCAAGTTCTCTCATCCTGGCCACACCTCCACTCTCTAACCCCCCCCCTCCCCTACCCACTTTGATGCATTTTTCAAATTTCGCCTTGGGGCGGAGTTATCTTTTCACGGGGGGGTAAGTTACACTTTAAGGTTAAAAAGTTTTTTCCAGCCAAGTAGCCTACCTAAAAATAATTGGTATTCCACCTACATAAATTAGCAAAAGCAAGTTAGTAAGAGAAGTAGAGATGTCAAAAAGTCCATTTTAATTTTGACAAACATGCTGTCTTGAATTCTGTAAGACACTAATAGATTTTAAGGGCTGTTATCTGATTGTAGGCACAAACAATTTAGGCCAAACTTATGTTGGCAAAATTTAATTAGGCCACCAGGACCATGAATTGTATAAATGCCACCATGTTACAGAAAAAAAAAAATAGTGGCTGTAAAAAGTTTGAGTGGCCAGTACAAAACTTTTTCTACCAGCCACTTTGGCTGGTGGGGAAAATTTTTCATTTCCACCCCTGAGTACCACCAATTTAAATTAGATTTAAATTTCAAACACTGGGCTGAATAAAGTGATTTCACCTTGCTTACTCTTAAAGCTAACATGGCTAAACAGCACACTTCAGAGGAAACTCTAAAGAGAAGAGACAGAAAAAAAAATACTACAGATGAAGGACTGAATTTCTCTCTGAATAACCAGCCCATCATTGTGGTAAACACAGCGCTACCTGAGCTGTAGAATAAAGTTCACCTTCACCTGACATAAATGTTTTCCTCATTAATAATGAAAAAAGCATGATGAGCTACAAATATACACGATTAACTGAGGTGTCAAACACTTTGGCATTGATTTGAGTAACTTTAATGTACTTATAGTCTGTAATCTGCAAGCCTGACCTAAAGACAGCAGAAGTATTCAATTTAGACTTGTTATCAAATGATATTTAATCATGATTGACTCAGATCACATTGAGAACAAAAAAATCTTGATTGCATCAAATAAATTGGTCCTCATTCACTTCCATGCACTAAATTTGTTAATCAAAATGAATAATTAACCATTTTGTCATGCTTATTGTTTTTATAAGGCTATTTGCAGTGAGTGAGAAATTTGAAAATGTTCATGTAATTTATAGTGTCCGTACACACCCAGATCCTCTGATCAGTTTGAGGCCAGTGTTCATTAATAACTAGTTATTGTTCTTGCAGGGCATTTTTGCTGACCCTCAATTGTACTTCGTGCATCTCACCATCTGCTGTCAGCAAATTAAAAAGCTATTGCCTAAAGGTTTTGGGGGTGGTGTCTAGGATGACAATGGGACACAAAGAGTTATCCTTGAGGCCAAAGAAACATACCTTCTGTTGAAATGATGGATTTTCAGGATCATGAAATCAAGTAGTTTACTTATTGTGTTTATAATCCAGCATTCAGGGTAAAAACTGAGGGTTCAGGTTTAGTGAATATAAATCTGCCATCTTTTCAGTTGTTGTCTAGCTCGTACTTTGGCTTAGATAAATTTATTTGCCCTTGCTTTGTGTTTTAATGGTGCATGCATTTTCAGTATCAATTCCTTTTCTTTAAATGAGGGGATCTTATTGAGATTTTAACTTGATTACAGATTTTTTTTTACCTTATTGTGGTTTTCAACTGCAAGACATGTATTGGTTAAAAATAGTGAGCTGATCAATGAAGTTCTTTTTAATTTGTCAATCAGCAGAGAAAATAGGCCATAAGTTAGCAGCATTATTTGGCCAAACATCTGTTGGTTTTGGATCATCACTGTTTCAGTAGGTCTAAAAAGCAACCATGGATGAATTGTCCTCATTTCCTTTCTCACTTGTTCCTGATTTCATCTCGGCTTATTTGATTTTCAGTAGCGTGACGAAGATGTCACAGTAAAAGTGGAGTGTAATGGCACACTGTTACAGAGTGAGGTGTGACAGGACTGAGATCTTCATATCCTGCAGAGATGTTCAGCAGTAAAAGTTTGTACTCTGCTTTCTGAATCACTGCTTCTTTGTTACCTGAGAAGAGAAAGTGGCAAAGAGTTGATATAATATTCCAGTAATATATTATTAACATTATTGACATAAAAAAATCACCATATTTCCTGTTATTTATTGCAATGAAAACATTAGACCTAAATATTTTTCAGGCTATAAATGTAATACTGCATACAGTCTAGAGCCTCGCAAATAAATATAGATTAAAACTCAACATTAAAAATGCTGCTTTATTACATTAATTAAGGTAATACAACTGTTACTGAACAATACACAGGAATAATTCCAGTCAGTCATATATAATACAGTGTACTGTGTGTATCATGCACTGCTTCATGTAATATTGCGAGGTATGTTCACACTTGGATGACCCTTCTCCTACCACATCAAATTTTAGTTCAATATCAGTAAAGTTGGTTGACTGAAAGTCATATGGTTGCTAAGCTGTAGCAGCCGTCATAAATATGGTTGTCTCTGAAACTTAATCAGTTGTAGACGTGTGTCCAGTGTTCACTTTGAGTTTGTGGTTCATAAGGTATTTTGCTAAGACAGACAAACATAAAGACAAAAGCACTGTCACCAACAAAAATAAAAAGGTCAAATACATACAATTTATGTGCCGACTAAAAATTGTTAGAAAAATTATGTTGATTTATATTTTGTTTTCATCTTTGTTTTATAGAGTGCGAGGAACTCAAAAAGGTTTCAAAGCTCAAAAAGGTGTATGAAATACAGCTGGAGGAATTCATAAAGTCTTTCCATAAATTCGAATCCTCTTTTTGTTTAGGTGTTTTCATATTTCTACATTTCAATTCCAGAAAACACAAATGATCTGATCTTCAGTGGGATACAGTCTACTGTTTGTCTTATTTATTTATCTTAATGACCGCAAGCCCTTTAGATGAGATTTGTGTGGTGTTTTGAAATTAGAGTTGGTAACGATCTTTGTGCAAATCAGTAAATACAAAATAAGAAGTTTGGTAATAAAGACTGAAAAATGTGACAAGCTTTATGTTCTACAAAAAAATTACCTGTTTTAAAAAAGAACTATGTAGTCAGTTTTCAAATTAATGCTAAACATCTTCATCTCCACTTTAAGGATTTTAAATGAAAGTGGGGAAAAATATCTGTTTTTTGCATAATTTGTTTGAAAATGTCAACTTGTGCTCAATGAAAAGAAAGTATGCATTTGTTTACCCCTTTGTGATGATTATTATATAAAAAAAAACAGATTTTTGTACAATATGCCATTTTCAAAACTAAATGTACTTTATTTTATGCATTAGGAAATAATAAAATCAAAGTCAAGTATATTGACTATACCATTTTATGACCACAGAGATAGGTGTTTATATTTGGTAATTTTTGGTGTTTTAGGAATAATTTAATATTTTAAAATTATATGTCTATGTTTAGTAACTAAGATTTAAAAAATACCAGAAAAGGTGGTTTGGCTGCAAAGCCAAAAATTTTATTTTAAATCTGATTCTTTGGGTAATTTAGGAATACTTTAGCTGTTTCTGGATGACTGGACTGTATGAACTGGTTTTTGCCTCTATGTGTTTGTGTTTAGTATTTTGGTAGCAAGACATGAAGGCCAGATTAAGTGTATGTTGTGGTTATGGTGAAGCTTCATGCAATCCTTGACCTCGTGGGTCAAGAATACAGGACCTGGGGGGGTGTGTGAGCCATGTGGAGGTGGGTGTAGATCCAAGGTAACGGGAGAATCGCTCCAGCACCAGGCGACTTACCAAGTGTGGGGTATAATCTGAAAAGCACTCAGCCAAGACACATGCAGGGCTAAGACCAGGCACCCTACCAAGACTGGGGCCTGTGGGGACATCCTGGTGAGAGCTAAACCTCCAATGGGCCTGGAGTGGTGCCAGGAGCCACATACACACTGATGGAAACACATGGTGAAGCTCGTGCAGGCTCTCATCACACCCACACACATGCAGACACACCGTGCATGCAAACACCACCACACAGGGGGGAGAATGAAAGGAGCAGTAAGACAAAGAGAGCACGAGGGCTGAGGAAATACAAGGTTCGCAGCCTGAATGGAAGCTTTGGTCAGCCCCATTTCTTATGTGTGAGAGTGTGCATGAACATGTCAGCATCTCATTCAGGCAGACCTCCCAGCTACAATTAAACCTTTTGTGTATGAAATTAGACCTATCAAGGTAAACCAGCATTTTGTATATGCTCTGCTTTTCCAAATCTTTAATTAACGAGACATGGTATCAAAATAGAAACGTCCTGTTTATTTGAATAACCCCAAAAGCAACCTTTTGGATTAACATTCGTTTTCTTCCTTTCCTCCTCTTATTCTCTTCGATTTCTTTCTCTGTTTCTTCTCTTTGCTGTCCTTCTGCAGATTATGTTTATTTTGAGAACTCGTCCAGTAACCCACTGCTGATCAGGAGGATAGAAGAGCTGAACAAGGTGAGTGGGTGTCTGAAGTTCAGTTTTTATCTTTTAAAAGAAACATATTCATTTTTTGTATATCACATTTCGTTGCTTCTGTTTCGTTTGAACACACATAGGCTGTGTCCAAAACGACAGGCCGGGTCCTCCGGAGGACCCAGACTCCCCGGTCTCGGCGGGCCGGGTCCTTAGTAGACCGGGAAGACCGGAAAAAAAGAGGCTGTGAATTTGGACGGTCTAGCCTCCCCTCCTTACCCCGGCGTACGTTATGTCACCTAGCAACTGTGACGACGCTAAACAAGCAAACTTAAATCAAAACTAGAAAAATATCAATACATTAGCATTATTAATATCACAAAACTATAAAATTAACTTAAAGGTATCATTTGAAGAACTAATTGACCCGCTGTAGGTTCATGTTTATTTCGCGTTTTTTATGACAAAAATAATATTTAAAAACACGTCTATACAAATGATAAAAGTATTAGAATTACAACCGCTAATTCTTTTTAATTTTCATATCACCATATTTTTATTTAAAACATATTCTTTTCTTTCGCTTCATCCGCCATTACTAGCTTAAACAAATCTCCGGTCGGGCCGCAATGCATTATGGGATATGCTGGGCCAGGAAGGATCCATAAGACCAGTCCTTCAAATCGGGGAAAAGGAAGGACGTATTTGTCGGCCGCATCAGAGGAGTCTTCGGTTTTGGACGTCCTTCGTCGCGGCGCTGTGACGTATGCGGCCGACAAATTCAGCCTTCGGAGGACCCGTCCTGCCGTTTTGGACACAGCCATAGCCTTAGGGATGGTTGTTTTTCACTTTCAACTGCCTATTCGGTCGCTGCTAGGGCTGCAGCAACGAATCGATAAAATCGATAAAAATCGATTATTAAAAGCGTTGGCAACGAATTTCCTTATCGATTCGTCGTGTCCCGGGATTTATGCATCCCTCGCCGTGTCGCTGAGCTGATTACGTCACCCGCACAGTGTTGTCAGTGCTGGCTGACCTGAATAAAGTTTAGGAAGAAAGAAAAAACGCTACCTACAGTGGTTTGCAAAAGTATTCATACCCCTTGAACTTTTCCATATTTTGTCACATTACAACCACAAACATAAATATATTTCACTGGAATTTAATGTGAAAGACCA